TCTACAGCATAAGATGGGCTACTCACTTTTGAGTCAGACACAGCAAGAACAAATTTGATTCTTGATAAGGCAGATAGGAGAAATCCTATCAAATATCAACTATCGAGGTGCAGACACATATGGACTGATTACAAGAAGACTGCTAGTGCAGTTTGTTAATTGAGTCAAGGACAAGTTTGGTGACACGAGGCACTAGAACCTCAGATGATTAGTAAAAGAGATATTGAGAGAGAGTGATCACACAGAGTTGGGCAGAGATAATGTTATTTGGAATAATACTCTCTGAAGTTTTTATCTTGTCATCTATCGGATGTCAGTAGTAAACAAAAGGACACTTACTATGAAATTGTACTATCAATAAATGGCATCCTCTTCTACCACAATACCTATGGCCTTGATCAAACCTGATCTGACATGGTATCAGGTCAACCCACAATTGACAAAGCAGTAATAGCAAGGCATTACCCAGGAGACAACTTTGCACCTACTAGACAAGCATGGTTAGAAATACCACAAAACAATAACAGCTTAATCAAGGAGGAAACACAAAGAGTTTTCAGGTATGCCTTCATACACATTGTATGAACAGATCAAAATCACTTCTGCTGATACACAATTAGCTGTGGTAGAAGCTGTAAATGTGCAGTTACAAAATGATTTGAACACTGTGCTTGGGCGGTTCAATCACAAAATAGTACAAAGACCTGTGACTACCATGTCACAGGACCAAGAGGAAAGGAGGTTCAGGATTGCACAACCAGGAAGGTTCATGAACAACTCAAAAGAACAAATGTTCAAGCAGTTCATTGAAAAACTGGCTGTATGGTACATGCACCAAAAGGTCACTTTGGACAGAGACCAAATAACTGGTGTACTGGCTTTGTTGGAAGACTGTGCCCACACAGTGGCAGGCAATTATTATTGTCTAGTGAAAGACTCCAAAGATTTGGGGACATATGAAGACTTCATACACCAAATGAGGAGGGCATTCACAACTATGGATCAAGAAGAAGATACACATCACGAATTCTTGGGAATGCTCAAGAAATATGACACCATAGCAGCTTGAGACACTGCCAAGTTTATTGGCAAATTCAGAGGTCTGCCAGACCTTGTGAAGTCTACTGACACCAAATTAATTGCTGCAATAAAAGATAGATTTCATAGAGACATAAGACATGTCTTAGTGGCACATGGGAGTTCCCAGTGGCCCAAGTGATGGTCAGAGTACTGTGATTATATACTCAACATCTGCCACAATATGGGCGTGCAGCAGTCAGTATTGTTAATTTGGTCCGGCATCTAAAGATCCAAATGCCAGGGAGGTGGATAATACATCCAAACAAAAGCAGTCTGACTCCAAACAGACTCAACAGCAAAGGAACACTCCTGATCCAAGGAAGTGACAGGAGTGTAATGCATTGAGTATGTCTAAAGTGCAGAAGAAAGGCATATGCTACATTTGCAGCAAACCAGGACATTGGGGCAGGACGTGCCCTAATAGTGAAACAGGAGACTTTGCAGCTAAAACTGCAGCAGCAATAATGTCTTCAATACTGGAGGTAATAAAGGGAAATCAATGGATTTCTCCAAACCTCAGTTTAGAAGAATTTGACAAATTGAATTGTCTAGCAACAATGATTTGGATGTAGAAATTCAAGTTGTGCAGAAGAACAAGGGCACTGGTAACCCTGCAAAACCAGTAAAGGCCATTGAAGTGGTAACCGTTGCACCTGAAGTTGCACCTGGCCCTTCAAAGAAAAAACCACAGAAGGTCAAGATCACAAGGATCATTGAGCCTTCATGCTTGCCAAGTCTATCAGGTCATATATTGCATATAGACTCTGATGAGGATAGCAGGCAGGATTTTGGCAGATACCTGTCGGAGATTCTACCGGACAGTCAGGCTGTTAAGGGACCTGACGACTGAGGATCAGGAGTTCCACTTAAGACTACTACTGTTAAGGGACCTAACGACTGGGGATCAGGAGTTCAATGGTTAACTGGTACTAGGACTAATACACCCTATAGTCCTGTACTGATACTAGAGTTGCAAACTGAGCTGCTATATCTGATAGTGGTTTGAGAGTGTATACTGGTTGAAGC